AGGTAGCATATCTGTTCTTAAGAAAGACATGTTTTGAAAAAAACTTAGAAATTTGAAAGAAAAAAAAACAACAGCAACAAAAGTGGTGTTCTTTTATAAATGATCTTAAAACTATGTATAAACACAAGGACAATTTGTATTCTTAGTGATCTGATACTGTTCTCTGTACTCCTTTTCTCTTACATGCACTATGTTTGCATATTTGTGATGGTAAAATATATTGTGATGTAAATATCATTACACAATATGTAAATAGAATATTTTACAGAAAAAAAATATTTGCATTTGAACTTTGGAAAAAATTTTTTGCATTTTTTTAAATCAAATAATTAATAATAATTAAAAGTCTTAGTAGATTATAAGAGGCGGAAATTAGCTTAGCAAATAAAATCTGATAGCAATTTAAATGAATCACTGAAACAACATCCAGGTGGCATCATCAGTGGTGCACACTGGGGGTGGATGAGGAGATTCCCTCAATGTGTAAAATGCTTTAAGTGTCCAGAAAAGTGCTATATACAAGTAAGGAATTATTATAATTAACATTTTTTATTTATTTTGCCAAAAACGGAGCAATCTGCTCAGTTTTTATAATAAGTAATCCATAAGTGAGCCCTTGTTCTCCTTGGGCCTGCCCCCCACTACTCTGATGGACTTTGTTAGACAGGAATTGCCCCCTTAATGAATATTCCCAATGAATGCACTATTAATTCCTGCCCTTGTTTTTAGATCTGGCTGTTTGTTCTCCACTCACCTTGTCTCTCCTGCGCTCCAGCTCCTGTATCTCTGCACTGAGCTCCTTCACTTTGGCCTCATTCTGTTTCATGTTCTCCTGCAGCTTTGCGATGGAGCTCTGCATCTCTTGCAGTTCTTCATTAGACTTCAGCTTGGTTTCCTCGGCACACACAAACAGGTACGCCACGTACAGCCGACTCAGGTGTTCAATCTCTCGCATGAGCTTCTGGTACTCCAGATAGGATGCACGTTCCTGAGAAGAAGCAAATGAGAGCAATACACTTTACTACATTTCTTAAGGTAACTGGTTGCAAAACTTTTATATACGGACTGATTTTAAACAAACCAATTAAGTTAAACATTACTAAATTTAATTTGTTTAAATTCAGCCCATATAAATGGTTTGCAACCAACTACCTTAACAAAAATTGTGTAAATCCAGTGACACATTTTTTTGAGTGTAGTACAAGGCAAAAGGATAAGTATATATTGAGTCCTATGTACTCTGTCTGCAGTAAGGAACTGATGCTGTTAGAAAACGCTTTTCAAAGCAGCACATAAAGGCACACAGTAATGTATAGCCTTTAGATTACATTATTTATTATTTAGCTACTTTATTATTAATATATCAAAGGTATAAATAAATAATATATGGTTTTAATCTAATCTACACAAATACTTTAAATTATAGATATGTTATTTATTATTAATCTGTTATTCATTCATACGTTTTTTGAGGGGGGTTTGACAGTAAAAAGTAAATGTGCTAACACCATGCTAATACCATTATTTTACAATGAACTACACCTAAAAGAAAAATTTAAAAAAATTAAATGCCTACCTCCTTCAGTTTCTCCATAGCAGGGGTGATCTCCTCATCTAAGATCTGTCCCACACCCACAGAAACATATTAGGATTACATTTTCAAAAGATTAAATTGTTGTTGAACATTAATATTTAAATGTACGTACAGTCTGAATTTCTTTGAGCTTAGCATCTTTCTTCTCAATAGTTTTCTGAGCACTGATCTTCTTACATTCGTACATCCTTGTACCTGCTGCCTCCTCAATCATGGCCAAAATCTAAAAATGGAAAAAATAGGAAATTAACATCTTGGTATCGTTTTTTTTTTTTTTTGTTTGTTTAATCAAACTGACTATTCCTTTTTATTTAAATGATCTCTTACCTCAGGAGGCTTCATGTTTAAAACCTTGGTGATTCTCCCCTGGAATAAACAGGTAAAAATAATGAAATTGCTCTGTTTTAAGATATGCAAATCCAAAATAAGGGTACAATATTAAGGATTCAATAGCCATTCAAATGGAATTTGCTATATTATGCAGCATTGCAATATTTAGCAAATTTTGGATGAAAATATTAAGAGGTAATTTACACCAAATCAAACAATGATGTGAACTAGTTTCTGTGAATATGAAAACACAAAGACTTCATATTGAATGTTCTAAACCTCCCTGTCAATAAGTTTTGCACAATTTGAGAAATAGCTAAACCTAATCTATGTGTTTTTTTTTTTTTTTTTTAAATATGTAGGCTTTGTTAAACTCTTAATAAACTGTTGTAAATCACTTGCAAGATTTTAATTCAAAATGCTTTTTAAGTTACATACGATTAATAATTAACTATTAAAACAGTGTAAAGAAATATTAAACACACAAAAACAGAATCTAAAAAAAATATATATATATATATATATTAAACACATATATATTATTCCTGGGACCTCAGGCCCAAAAAGATTTATAAAAACATTGAGAACTTAAAATTCACTATATTATTTTCACCTATATAAAACAAACTTATATCAAATAAAATCTGAATTTTGCAGGGGAAAAAAAAATTGTAAAAAAGTTTTTAAAGCATTATTTCATAAATGTGATAATAATAATTATAACAATAATAATTGTAGAATATTATGAGGCCATATAACTTCTCTTATGATGATTACCTGCATGATGAGAAAGTGAGGGTTGTTGACATTCAAGCCAACTGAACAAAACAAATCCTGGACACGCAGGTTGTTCGCATTTACGCCGTTGATGAGGTACTTGTTGCGACCACCTATGACCACCTGCACAACACAAATAACATCTTCACATTCTCATTCTTAAAGGTGAGCTGCTATCTTATAGTGAAAACGGCACTGATTTTAGGTCATCTACCTGTCGTGTGATGGTAATCTCATCATGCGTCTCAAACCCAAGTGGACTCTGTTTCTTATTGGAGTTGTCAAAAGTGATGGACACTGTTGCCTTGGTGATCCCAGCCAGGCCATTTTTGTAAACCAGATCTTGGAGATTTGTGGCTCGAACCTACAAAACAAGCATCTTTAGCTTTAAAAGTCGTACTATGTATTTTTCTATTATACTGATCACATCTTTTGTTTAAGTTTAAGTTATAAATATATAATATTCACTAATATTTTGTATGTCTTTTGTTGTCATCATACAATTAATTAACAACAAATGTGACCCTGGAGCACAAAATTAGTCTTATATCACAAGAAGGCTATATTTTGGCCGTAGACAAAAAATACACTGTATAGGTGAAAATTATTGATTATTCTTGCATGCCAAAATTACTGGTAATGTTATATTAAGTAAAGACCATGTTTAGTGAAGACATTTGGTAATTTTCCTACGGTAAAAACTCAATTTCTGATTAATAATGCCCTTTGCAAACCTAATATGGAAAACTTCAATGGCGTTTTTCTTAGCATTTTTTATTTATTTTAGATTTCAGATTTTCAAATAACTTCCAGTTGTTTGCATCTCGGCTAAATGTGGCCCTATCGTAATAAAGTAACGTTATTCATCAGTGGAAAGATTGTTTATTTAGGTTTAAGATACAAAAAAATGCACGTATCTCTAGTTTTGTGGTACAGGGTCACATATAACAATGAAAATGATTGTATTTCGTTTTTCTGCAAACAAAAATAAACAATGTTAAGCTAAACAACAATCAAAATAACGCAGTCACAGCTTAAAAACGGATTTATACACATTGCTAAGTTCTGATAATAAATAAGCATGTTTAAACCCTCACCTGGGAAAGGTTCGAAATCCCCAGTAAAAAGCAGATGGAGTCGAGTATATTTGACTTTCCGCTGCCGTTCAGTCCAGTGATGGCGTTAAAAAACGGATCAAATCCGTTAATCTCTGTCCTTTCGGCGTAGGACTTGAAGCCCTCTAGTACAATCGACTTTATATACATTTTATCGAAATGATATGAGTAAAATCCACTAACAACGCTTGATGAAAACAACCTCCAAAAGCCCCGGCGTTGCTTTCAGTTCAACCATCTAAACTTGAAATTTGGCGCCAGGCGCGTTTCCGCTCCGCCGTTCAAAAAAACAGAACAGATTTCAAATTCCAGTAAAATCACAAGCAATGAATTTCACTAGAAGCCTGGATATATTTAGACAAAATCTAAGTTTATTTGGTAAAGATTTACAGTCATTACATGCAACGCTTTGCTGTCAGAAGTGAAATAAATGTACAACATTTTTTTCAGGCTACTTTTTAGCCACCACAATGATGAAGGACCCAAAACATTGAAGCGTGTATGACGTCATTAGGGCGGTTTAGCTCAAGCTGGCCGGCTCGAATGACATTTGATCGTTACGTTCAAAAAGAGTGTAGTTCAGCGCACATTGAGGCTGGTTTTAATGTGATGGCATGTTATTACACGACTGTACGAAATATCAGATTACAGTAAGTCAGTCGCAGCATCCTGTAGTTAATTTTCTGATTGCCAAACGCTACATTTAGTACCTCCCATAGCTGTGATAGTTATATATCCACATGTAACGTTAGTAAAACCCTTTAATCCCAATGTAAATAATTCCACAATGTATATGTTTATTTAATTACGAAGGTATAGTACTAAATAGCCTACTTTATATTATCTGGGAGTTAAGTTAATTGCGGCCAAGAATAATACATGCATGGAATTGAATCTTTCCAAAGTTAACCTACATTCTGTATCATTTGCAAATGTGCATAAATTCGTGGCATAAATAGTTAAATGTTTGCAGTACTATTGCAATGTCACTGATTCAACAACACAAAGCACATTGCATTAGAAATGTGAAAACAGCAGTTTTTTTACCAAAGAATCTCACCCACAATTATAACATCTATGTTATTATATCTAAACGTGCTGTATCCACGTTTACCTCACAGTTTTACTTTTTCAAATGTTATACCACATTAGAATAAATCGACTAAAGTACATGCAAAATATGTAACATTGCATTAATAACAAATATACATTCTCAAAATTCAAGTCACGGCATAATTACACATCAAAAACAGTCTTTTACGCTACATTTGCACAAGGCTAAATTGGATTTCACCCACACTGTGGAGTTATGTTACAGTTGCTGTAGGTCTGAGTGCTCGGAGCTTGGCTAAGTGCTCAAAACACAAAGCATAGTTTTGTACACTCCCTTGGGCTTTTTTTATACACTTTTTGTCAACATAACATTTTTAAAGGCAATTTGAAAGAAATTAGACTCATTCAAATGTCTCTGCTTTCTCTATGCCAGAGGGACCGGACACATGGAAAGACACACCAAGTTAAAGGCATAGAAACAGACCTGCGTGAGGACAACACAGTCACCGCGGTCTGAATACATTGCGGTGGGCTGAATGTAAGTCCAGTCAAAGTTCTTAAGCTTCAATGCAGTGTGGTGATACTTCCTGCTCAAGGACAGCAGACAGCGGGCCAGGGTGTATTTGGCCGCACAGCTCACTGCTCTGATGGGCCGCACCGAGTTGAAATGCATCAAGAAACAGGGATCATCCTAACACAGCAGAGATATGCAAATTGAACATCTTTCAGTGGAAAGAAATAGATAACTCTCCCTGATATAACACTAATATCGTAAGCAGTAGGGCTGCACAATACATCCTTTAAATTCAAATTTTAACATTAATGGATGAAAAGAAAATGTAAAGCCTGTGACTATGTATGGTTTCAAGCTAAATTAAACCTTTGGTCACAAGAAAACTATAGAATTTGTAGCTTTACCAAATATTATTTGTATTACTTATTTATACAATGAAGACTACAGTAACAAACATTTGAATTGGATCAAAACAGTGTCAAAAAGACAAAAATGGTGTTGTTTAATAGTTTTATTAAAACATGAAAGGTTTTGATCAAATTCAAATGCTGATTGTATACAGTGTTATTTTATTATTTATATTATTATTATTATAATATTATTTGATTATTTAATTTCTGCACCTCAAAACTCTCTCCAGAATTCCATCAAGCACTGATCATTACTTTCAATCTTTGTTCTGGTGTGTACATTTATGCTTTAAATAATGAATTTTATATTTTATGCAGATGCACTCCCCTAAAAAATCATCACAATCAATGAAAACTTTAATTAGTCTTTCCATATAAAAATATTTTCAATCATCTTGGTTAATTCTATTCATATTGCAATATACAGTTGAAATCAGAATTATTAAACTCTCCTTGAACAGAGCAAGGAAATTTTTACAGTATGTCTGATAATGTCTTCTCGAGAAAGTCTTATATAAAAGAATAAAAGCAGTTTTTAGTAAAAGAAAAAAAAAACATTTTAGGGTCAAAATTATTAGCCCTTTTAAGCTATTTATTTTCTCGATAGTCTACAGAAAAAAAACATCGGTAAATTGAAGCTTGCCTAATTACCCTAACCTGCCTAGTTAACCTAATTAACCTAGTTAATCCTTTAAATGTCACTTTAAGCTGTATAGAAGTGTCTTGAAGAATATCTAGTCAAACATTATTTACTGTCATCATGGCAAAGATCAAATGAATCAAGTATTAGAAATGAGTTATTACAACTATTACATTTTTTGAAACTATAAAAATTTTTTTTAATAATGTGCAGCCCTAATTAGCAGCATTTATCAGATTTCGACAGAGCTCAACTCACGGTATCTGGATCTCTACCATCCAAAATCAGCAGATCTGTCAGGGCCCAGGTCTCTGTTCTTTCATAACTGTCTTCCAGCCCGCTGTGCTGCAGTTTCTTGGTTCTTGAATGCTTAACTCTCCGGCACATGACCACTGAGATCTGAGCTTCTTTATCCTTCGATACTAAATACAGATTGGTTTTGTATTTCATTATGCCACATCGGTAGCATTTAGGACTGTATTCATAGAATCCCCATTTTATTTAAAAATCAATATGGTGTCCCCAGATGATCCCAGCAATTTTTGAGAATTTTAGTACCATGTTCTGGTGGAATTTAATTAGCCCAAATAATCATGCACAAATCAGGATTGTTTTCTTACTGGAAACGCAGAGAAAATGTCGTCCTTGCTGTTGTTCCTCGATTTCTATAAACTCCTTCAGTGTCTGTCCCTCCGGTCTGAACAAGACTCTGTCCATCTCCTCCCTTAGTAGAGACGACATCTCGGGCAGAAAAAAATAGAGAGAAAATTAATTTAAGTGTGTGAGAGCAAGAGCAGAGTGAGGGATAAAATGTGTTCTTGAGGTGGATCTGGTTTGAAGGGTTTATCACCCTCCTCCCTCTCTCTCTCTCTCTCTCTCTCTCTCTCTCTCTCTCTCTCTCCCCCTCACTTTCTCATTCTCTCACCCTTTGTTTCTCTATCTGTTTGTTGGAGTGAATGAAACTATTCCTATGAATTTTCAAGACTGATTGACACTCACAAGCAAATTACTTTTTTAATTTACAGATATACTTACACACTTTTTTGGTGATGTTATTTCAATATATGTTTTATTTGGAATACTTGTTAATGATAACACCAGTCACTATATGTAGTGCAAAGCAAACGTTTGTGTGGGGGTTAAAACATTTGGAATAGGAAGATTGAGGTTAATTGTACTAATTTGTCTTCCAGGAAATATGCAAGTATCTTCTGCCACTTTTTTCACTTTTTAGGGGCAGTACTTAATGGGTGGAAAATTATATTTCACCAAAATAAAAAAAGGTTCTTCATCCTGTTCAAAAGGGAAACACCTATACACTCTCACATCCATACACATACAATACGGTCAATTTAGTTTATTTAGTTCACCTATACAGCAAGTCTTTGGACTGTGGGGGAAACCGGAGCGCCCGTGGAAACCCACGAGAATCTGGGGAGAACATGCAAACCCCACACAGAAATGCCAACTGGGTCCAGCCGGTAATCGAACCAGCAACCTTCTTGCTGTGAGGTGATATTGCTAACTACTGAGCCACAAGGCCACACGATATTGTACCAATATAGATAATATTAATGATTATGTAAATATAATAATGTCAGTCTGTATAATGCAAATAAGTTGCTGTCCCCCAAACCCCTCTGATTTACTTCACCATAATGCAAAACAAAATTTGTAGCACTTTATGTCAAAAAATAAAACTGAACTGCAATTTAAATTTGATCTGCTTATATGAAGTACTAACTATGTCCTATTTATGAACAAGCTGATTCATGTTAATTAATCTGCTGGATTTGTTTCATAAATTAAACTGAACATTAATTTTCTCAGCTGGACAGATGCGTTTGCATCATTCTCACATCAACATCTCACTGATCCATCCGAAGCCAGCCTACAGTTAATGACTCATTCAAGAATAAATCTGATTCACTAAATAAAGGGTGCTCCAGTTTCCCCCTCAGTCCAAAGACATGCACTACAGGTGATTTGAATTGAATTGAATTGAATTGAATAAGCAAAATTGGCCGTAGTAGTGTATGGTGTGAAAGACTGCGTATGGGTGTTTCCCAGTGTTGGGTTGCAGCTGGAAGAGCATCTACTGCGTAAAAAACATAGGCTGAATAAGTTGGCGGTTCATTCCGCTGTGGTGAACCCAGGTTTTATAAAGGGACTAAGCCGAAAAGAAAATGAATGAATGAAATTTACAGGCTGATTCAAAATGAGTCAAAATGGGAACATGCCTGCTAGTGTGAGTGCAAAATGTTTTATGGAGTTGCCATTGTAAAAAAAAAATAAAAATAAAAAAAGTTAGATCATGACTGTCAATTTTTTTATTCCCAACCCTTTTCCAGAAGGCACACCAACAATACACATTTTCAACCTCTTTCCACTCAAATACACTTGAATCAACTCAGCAGAACATTAGACGAGACTCCAAAACCTGAAATGAATGCGTCAGATATTGGAGATGTCCAAAATATGTGCTGTTGGTGTGCCTCCAGGAATATGGTTGGTTAAGATAATCTGCTCTAAAAGGTCAAGCTGGTTAAGCTCACTGTATTAAAAATGCTTAAAAATTAACCAATGGAAAATCTTTTTTTTTTTTACTTTCTAAAAGTTATTATCTGTACCTTCACTTAAACACTTGTTTTATTTACTTCATCCATCACTACTGCACACTATTATCATTACTCAACCAACCAGGCCTTGATTTGTTATGCATGCCTGAGCAAGAATATTTTAAATTCGGTATACTGTGACAACAGGGCTGTAGTCAAGGTGTATAAAGTTCATAAATAGTCAAATATGACTCTGTTCGAAATGAGGGTGAAGCAGTGGCGCAGTAGGTAGTGCTGTCGCCTCACAGCAAGAAGGTTGCTGGGTCGCTGGTTCGAACTTCGGCTTAGTTGGCATTTCTGTGAGGAGTTTGCATGTTCTCCCTGCGTTCGTGTGGGATTCCTCCGGGTGCTCCAGTTTTCCCCATAGTCCAAAGACATGCTGCAGGTGAATTGGGTAGGCTAAATTGTCCGTAGTGTATGAGTGTATGAATGTATGAGGGTGACAGGCCCAGACGACAGGCCGGCCGGAATGTGTAAAAAAGTCGTTGTCATATGGACAAATCTAAATGGAGGACTTGTTCCTAAGAGCCGACCCAGCAACCATACGGGACTAAGCCCAAAGAAGAAGAAGACTCTGTTTGAAATGGACTTTGTGCTTTGTAACTTCTTTATCTTCACAAACAGCAACTTTATGAACTAAAATTGGAAGTGTAAAATTGAAAATAGGATACCTTCTTAAATAAAAAAATGATTCAAGCCAGAATAATGGTGATGATTTGCTTGCATCTTCCTTCTTTCTTTAATTCTATATCTGTTTTTTATTGAATTTTCTCTCCATTTATTCTTAGCCTTAACCTGTATGCGGATGCTTTTAGTGTTTTATAACCTTATCATGCCTACACGCCCTAACAAACTCAGTCCTGGCTTATATGAGCCATGTCTAACTGACATGCCTAAAATGGCCCTGGGGGAAAATACATCATTAGTTATGAAAACACATTTCCCTCTTAAATCTCCATCATAAGTGGTGCAGTTACAAGCCATTATAATTATAATCTCTACAGGGATAACCCATGTATTGACTGTGGTCCCATCAACCTTTAAAGCTTCGTTATACAGCGGATCTACAGATGCATAATTTATATTCAAAAAACACATTTATACAAACAAGTGTTCTGATTGCATCTGATAAAAGACTTTTTGGGTGGCTATAGAGGCCTTCGTCTTTATATCCATCTATGTTTTCAGGAGGCAAGCATATTAATCTTGGGCAGATTTCAGTTGTTCGAGCTTTTACACTCACACAACTTGCCCAAATTCCGAAAGGAGGAAATGGCCTTCGCGTTCAGTCTTCTGAGTAGCTTTTAGTTGGTCTTTGAGGTTTTGCTTGTGGCCACTGTTACAGTCAGTTCTAAAAGATGGTCATGGAGATGCTTACTTTCATGTGAAGTTCCTTAGGTAATGCAACAGCTTAAAGGTAGCTCTTCTAATTTTGATGAGCTATTGTACTCAGGAGAAGGTTTTGTGTCAAAATTTCAGCAGATCAGAAATTACGGAAAAACTTTGGACAGCCCATTTGACACCAACACTCATGGCAAATTGAAATTAAATCACCTCTTTTTTCTTTAAACATCAGTGGGTTGTCTTGACCATGTTGCCTAAATGCATTGAGTTATTGGCATGTTATTGGCTGATTGGATATCTGTGTTAATGCGCAAATTAACAAAACAGGTTTACTGTCATGGTTCTGCCCTATGTTTAATGTTTTTATGTCTAACCGTGTTCTTCTGGCCCCACCCCTTTTTTTCTCTCGGTCACGCCCTGTTGTTTTGGTTGTCATATTTCTTGTCTCTCTTATTGTGTTCACCTGATCCTCGTGTGCTTTCCTTCCTATAGACCTTTTTCTTTGTTGCTGCATGAAAGGTGCAATAGAAATCAGCGTCTTCCGGTAGGATGCTGAGACCTTCCGTTTACACCGTTTACAACTGGTTAATCTTGATCAGAAAATAGTTGTCAATACCATTTTGAGTGGCTTAGGGAGTGTTTTTGTGATCCACAACTTTGATTTTAAAAGGTGTGTTTTAAAGTCGTTGTCAGATGCGATTTAAGCTCGAGAGAAAAATGTTCTTTATTGTCTGCCATCAGATAAGATGCTGAAATACAGCGTCAGTGTTCTCGACCTGTCAGCTGTTGTACTGTAATCAGCAGCCCTTAATTGCACACATAGATCACTGCATTATAGAGCAAACCATATTACTTGCATGAAACTCATTCATTCATTCATTCATTCATTTTCTTGTCAGCTTAGTTCCTTTGTTAATTCAGGATCGCCACAGCGGAATGAACCGCCAACTTATCCAGCAAGTTTTTACGCAGCGGATGCCCTTCCTGTCAGGCAACAGAATCAAAGGAGGGGTTTGTGCAGTTCAATCAATGTTTATTAATAGTTCAAACAAAGGCAGTCTGTCAGTAATTCAAATGAATCACACAGATCCGGTTCTTCAAAACAAACTCAAGGCAAACCCCCTCGGTCGGGGCAAGAGAAGGAAGGAGCCGATCGGTACGAGCCCACCACAGCAATGCGGGAACCACTGACCTCCGGGTGCTGATGGTCAGAGCACAGTCAACAGATGAGTAAGTAAGCGGCAGTACTCACAACATGCAACGATGAATACAGTTGGGATGATCAACAACCAGAACGAGACAAGACGAGACAAATGATGATGAGATCTGTTTGTAGAGAAAAGACTGATACACGGATTTCTAACTCACAGAGTAACAATAATCTGACAACAGGAGGAGAAACAAAGGAGGTAGATATAGTGGTGTCAATAATGACAAAGCGGGAACAGGTGACTGCTGATCAGAGCTCGAGCTGATTGCAAGCGCTGACAGCTGGTACGGGAAGACACAGAAGGGGAAAAAGATTGACAATTAACAAACCAGATTCATGACACTTCCAGCCGCAACCCATCTCTGGGAAACATCCACACACATATTCAAACACACACTCATACACTACGGACAATTTAGCCTACCCAATTCGCCTGTACCGCATGTCTTTGGACTGTGGGGGAAACTGGAGCACCCGGAAGAAACCCACGCAAAGGCAGGGAGAACATGCAAACTCCACACAGAAACGCCAACTGAGCCGAGGTTTGAACCAGCGACCCAACGACCTTCTTGCTGTGAGGCGACAGCACTACCTACTGCGCCACTGCCTCG